ACAAAAATTAGGCCTCGGTTCGATAGGTATTCAGGAATATACAATAGAAAAATAGACAAAGGTGACAAGACTATTTAATCTTTAAATGTTATGTTCGTTTCTTCCAAAAATACTATTAATTCTAAATTTGTTTATTATTTAATAGATAAGATTGGCTAAATATTATACGGAGTTATAATTTTGTAATTGATTGGTTTGTATAAAAGGCATTTGAATGGATTATGATTTGGGACATTCAAAAAAGCAATAGTCCAAGTCTGCATCTTCACCATAGTATTTACAGTTGTTACTTTATTTTATTTTGATTTTGTGCAAGTGCCAAGGGTAATAAGCTTAGGTATGTATTTTATAATTTTTGAAGTGAGCCAAGCAATTTTGATAGAAATTGAAGGAAGAAAAACACATGTTCGCTATACTTACGCGGCTTTCAGATTAAAACTTTTATGAGTATTTCCAGGTAAGTACCCGAAATTTTGACCTGTTCTTTGGGGAAATATCAACTGGTTAAATGAAATGAAAAATAATGTACGTAATAATTCTGATTTTAATATATATTGAGGAAATGGTATATGTTCCTTTGTCAACCATTCTTTAATTTTATCAACAGTCCAAGAATTCGTTGGACTTTTGTTTAATACTTCAGAATGGAAAGGTGCATTGTCTAAAATAATTACGTTGGGCTCACTTAAACCTGGGAGAAGTTTTTCATACAACCATTTTACAAAAATTTCTGTGTTCATATTATCGTGATAGTCACTGAATTTTGATTTAGATGAAAATATTAAATTAGCACCTTCTACAAAACCCGATTTCCCTCCTGGCATGTAAAATTATGTGTCGCTTCCCTTCTCCATCGGTATGTTTGATGGACTTTACGTTATCATCTTGCCATATTCTCTTGGTTGCACCCCTAAAAAATATCCATGTTTCGTCTAAATATATAAAATTCACCCCTTCTTTTTTAAATTTAGAATATTTTCTTAGAAAGTTAATTCTCTTGTGCACGACAGAACTTCTTTTACAAAGGGCCTTTCTGTTATCCTCCTTTTGAAATTTGAAACCCAAGTTATGTATCACTTGCCATAGACTTGTTCTGCCAATGTCGTCAAATTTTCTATCTATTAATTCCGAGAGAATTTTATTTAAGGTCACATGTTCCTTATTGACCCTCATTCGATAAATGGTATCAAGAATTTCAAATTTCTTTCCATCTGGAATATCTTTCGTTTTCAATGATGCGGTGATATTCTTTAGGCAGTTCACTATTGTGATTTGGTAATACTCCTCTTAATTTGGTTTCACTAATTCCTAGAGCATCGCATACGCGTTGTTGTACAGACATTACCGATTTTAAAGGATCGTCATTTTCTTTTTCATCCGTAAAATACTTATGTACACTACAAATTAGACTATCTACATCTAACACACGTCTAGGCATTTTTAAAATTTCCACTAAATTTTCAATATACATACAATGTCAACACTTGCAAAGAATCAATTCAACTGCAATATTTGTAACACATTTAGTACCTACCCTAATGTTATTTTAATTTAAATCTGACCATTAGAGCAATTTTACCTAATTTCTTGGGAAGAGGCTTATTGGAACTGGTTGTCAATGACTAATTTGCATAATTTTGTTAATCCGAAACCCGCGTAAGTATAGCGAACAGACTGTAACTGGTAATTCTACTTGTGGGAAAAAATTAAATATACCTTTTTTTGCAGGAGAGGTTTGAAAAATCTTATTTTGACTTACCTTTTAGAAAAAAAATTCAAGCAATTGAATCTCTGCCTTATCTATTAGGGTGGACAATATCTTCGGATCGCGCAAAAAGCCTCAATGATAAATTTTTGTGTTTTTGTATTTTTTTTATTATGCTAAACGTTAGTCCTAGTATTTAATAATTTGCAAACAAATTATCACTGGTTTTAAAGCATATTTTCCGATCGCGAAAAATTTTTTCAAAAACTGCAAATTTTTCATGTTTTCGTAGATTTACCCAATTAGTACACTAAATGATCTTGGGCCAGTTGTTATCCCAAATAAATATTGAAACAGATGGCAGGAAGGTAAATAAATAAAATGTAGTAAGCAATAGTACTACTAATATATCCGGTATAGTTATCAGTTCCATTACAACCACCGGCATCAAGGTAAATTTCTTCTTCAGTAGGATACCAGGAATCAGATTTTGAAGACACGTGACTCAAATAAATAGAATAATGGAATAATGTTCTTCTTATTCTGTTTGACGAAACTGCTTCATGTTTAGCCAATTTGCCTCTCGGAGGTGATGAGTAATGAGTTGACACCTCCGTAACACACAAATTAATCTAAGGCACGAATTTTGAGCCACCTATATTCTTTAAATGTCAAAAGACTCAAGACATGGTCCATAAACTACACAATGGTGATGATTTTGATTATATTTTCGAAAAAAAGTTAATACATTTTGAATTCTTGTTCTTTATATGGTTGACCGCACAGCGCACAACAACAATTTCCTTGTTCTAAATGTGTCAAATAGTATGTCTTCCAAGAGCGGTAATATTTCACATCTCGAGTGAACGTCAAAGAACCACGAAGCACATTTTTCAAGGTTAATGTTAATCTTTCAATTAGTTTATTCATGCAAATATAAAATACAAAAGGAATACCTACATAAAATTTATTACTTTCCACTATAACTATTTTTTAATAAAAATAATATTTCGCCACTTATGAAACCAATTTTGTAACTACATAGTTTGATCTCAGAATTTAAATTTGGTAAAAAAATTATCATTTAGCAGGGATAACGTCACATTACAATTTTATAGTCAATCTAATTAATTAATCTTTATAAAGGACTCATAAATTTGGTAATAAATTTATCATTAAGCAGAGATAACGTCACATTACAATATTGCAGTCAATTTAATGACATTTATCTTTATAAAGGACTCATAAATTTGCTAAAAAATTTATCATTTAGCAGGGATAATGTCACATTACAATATTGCAGTCAATCTAATGACATTTATCGTTATAAAGAATTCATAAATTTGGTAAAAAATTAATCATTTAGCAGGAATAACGTTACATTTCAATATTGCAGTCAATCTAATGATATTTATCTTTATAAAGGACTCATAAATTTGGTAAAAAAATTTATCATTTAGTAAGGATAACGTCACATTACGAGTTTACAGTTAATCTAATGACATTTATCTTTATAAAGGACTCATAAATTTGCTAAAAAATTTATCATTAAGCAGGGATAACGTCCCATTACAATATTGCAGTCAATCTAATGACATTTATCTTTATAAAGGACTCATAAATTTGGTCAAAAATTTATCATTTAGCAGGAATACCGTCACATTACAATATTGCAGTCAATTTAATGACATTTATTTTTATGAAGGACTCATAAATTTGGTAAAAAATTTATTATTTAGTAAGGATAACGTCACATTACAAGTTTACAGTTAATCTAATGACATTTATCTTTATAAAGGACTCATAAATTTGGTAAAAAATTATCATTAAGCAGGGATAACGTCCCATTACAATATTGCAGTCAATTTAATGACATTTATCTTTATAAAGGACTCATAAATTTGGTCAAAAATGTATCATTTGGCAGGGATACCGTCACATTACAATATTGCAGTCAATCTAATGATATTTATCTTTTTAAAGGACTCATAAATTTGGTAAAAAATTTATCATTTAGCAGGGATAATGTGACATTACAATATTGCAGTCAATCTAATGACATTTATCTTTATAAAGGACTCATAAATTTGCTAAAAAAAAATATCATTAAGCAGGGATAACGTCCCATTACAATATTGCAGTCAATCTAATGACATTTATCGTTATAAAGAATTCATAAATTTAGTAAAAAATTTATCATTTAGCAGGAATAACGTTACATTTCAATATTGCAGTCAATCTAATGATATTTATCTTTATAAAGGACTCATAAATTTGCTAAAAAATTTATCATTAAGCAGGGATAACGTCCCATTACAATATTGCAGTCAATCTAATGACATTTATCTTTATAAAGGACTCATAAATTTGGTAAAAAATTTATCATTTAGCAGGGATAATGTCACATTACAATATTGCAGTCAATCTAATGACATTTATCTTTATAAAGAATTCATAAATTTGGTAAAAAATTTATCATTTAGCAGGAATAACGTTACATTTCAATATTGCAGTCAATCTAATGATATTTATCTTTATAAAAGACTCACAATTTGGTAAAAAATTTATCATTTAGCAGGAATATCGTCACATTACAATATTGCAGTCAATTTAATGACATTTATTTTTATAAAGGACTCATAAATTTGGTAAAAAAATTTATCATTTAGTAGGGAAAACGTCACATTACAAGTTTACAGTTATAATGACATTTATCTTTATAAAGGACTCATAAATTTGGTAATAAATTTATCATTAAGCAGGGATAACGTTCCATTACAATATTGCAGTCAATCTAATGACATTTATATTTATAAAGAATTCATAAATTTGGTAAAAAATTTATCATTTAGCAGGGATAATGTCACATTACAATATTGCAGTCAATCTAATGAAATTTATCTTTATTAAGGACTCATAAATTTCTCTAGTTTTTAGATTTAAGATGTAAGACATCCTAACAACACTGCTTCAAATGGTAAAAAGGACATGCGAAATGTGTAAAATTTCCATAGTAATCTTTGATTTAAAAAGGACAAGACTGCATAAACTGATTTGTATACCATTACATAGATTTATTCCTGTCTTGTTTGTTTTTTAACCCACTATGTAAAATGATTTTCCGCTCAAATCCCCAAAGCAAAATCAACGTTAAATTGTTTTCCCAAGTGACCATTAATATGAGAATTGTCAAATACAATAAATGGAAAAAAAAATAACCGAGTGTGCGTAGACGGGAAGCAACGAAAAAGCGTATAAGAGTAGGAGAATTAGGATAAAGGAATAATAGTGCATTTGCCTTCCAACAAAACGTTCTTGTTATATCGCGCTCGTGGCAATTTACGCGGGTTTAACAATTTTTTTTAAAATATATTTATAAAAAAGTGATTCCTTCGAAATGACTATGCCGTATCCACCCTCGTTTCAACTCCAGGAGAAATTTGAAAAATTGTCTTTCCAGTATGAGGTATTTTGATTTTCATCTATCTTCTTCTTTAATATTTAACAATTTATTAGTTATAGGGAAACTAAACGTTTTATTGTTTGATTTACTTCGAAAATATTATACCTAACAATAAAGATGGGTCCTTCATTTAACTTTTTTTTTTATTTAAGCTAAAATAAATATGTAACAATATTTTTTTAAACTCTCTGCTGTTTTAGAACAGTGTAAAAAATACCAACCCCTAGTTAATTTTCCGATCTTTTAAACCATATCTATGTTTTATTTTCTTATCAATTTTTGTAGTGATTCTCTGATTTATTTTACAATTTTTTCTTATCTTAAAAAATAGTCGAAATATAATTTTCAATAAAAAAAAATATATGAAACATTATTTTCTTGCAAAACCATTAGGAGAGTGTAACTTAGCAACGAAGGTATTTTAAACAATGTTAAATTATCTACAGTTTATTTTTTTATGCTTTTTTCCGGAATTTTAGAATTAAAGAACTGATTATAAATTATTATAAAAGTTTAAAATCTTTACCAAAATGCATCTAAATTAATACAAAGCTTCTCAAAGTTATAAATTATTCAGTAATTCTAAATTAATTTACATAAACATATCATGTGTGTTTATCATTTTATTAAACTAATTCGTAAGCAATTATTTACAGTTTAGCAATTTATGTAATATGCGATTTCTGCATTTTTTTAAGTAAGCAAAAGTAATTGATATAGTTAAATGATTTCATTTTAATTTTGAAATATTGATAATGCTTAGATCCTCTTTTTCCAATAATATTAATTGAATTTATTATCTCGAACCACTTATAAGTTATTACCTAAAAATTGATTTTCAATGACCCCATTTAAAGATATTATATTTCGGAAGTAAACTAGAATTTTTTATTTTTTGGAAGGTCTATTAATCAACATTACTTTGAAAGTAAAAGATTAATAAAAAAATATATCTCTTTTTCAATAAATATGTAAAATAATTAAAAAAACAGGGTGAATCCCATTCTAATATTAAATAATAATGAATATAATAAATGTTTTTTCATATTTTTCCAGTTTTTGAATGCATTATCTAAAACCATTAGTTTTGTCGAAATAGTAGTTAGTATATTTTTTCTACGATCCACTAACCAAAATCTAAAAATTTTAAAAATTATTTTAGGTTATTAAATGAAAATAACTAATTTAAATATAATTCATTACTTTTACTAATTTATGTATATAATACAATAAACTTTAATTTAATATAATTAGTCTCCAATCCTATAATTGAACCCAGGATCTCTGCCTAAAAGCCAAATGACCCAGTCACTGCTTCACAGGCGCGGATCTGGGAAGATTTTTCGGGGGGGGGGGGGGGGGGTAGATAATTTTATCTAAAAATAATTTATTTAAAAAATAACAAAAAATACTGTACGCCAGCCTGTGCTTCTCTATTCTTCATTCGTCACAGTCATCTTGTCTTTTTTTGTTTTCTCGTAAAATCTCGTTGTTTTTAGATTACAATTTAGTAAATTCTTGGATTTGTTCGAGCAGCTCGGGGGGAGGTAATTACCCTATTACCCCCCCCCCCTTGTATCGGCGCCTGCTGCTCCATCGCCACATAAATCAATTTAGTTTTAATACTCGTAATTAAATTAATTTAATATAGTTCGATTAAAATGTATGGTTTATTTGTAAATATAGACGAAATAAAAATAGAAATGCTATTATTTATCGATTCTACATAAGAAGAGCTCATTTTAATGTATATTTAATGTCGCTAAAAAATATATTGACAGAATTGTCAGTTATTTCAAATTTTAAAAAATAATAATAACCAGGTGACCAAAATATGTAATTGGTGGATTTCATTTTTTTACAGTGTTCTTACCAGGTAGGATGGATATGAAATATATTCGTTCTGTTGAACGCAATAGCAACATTTTTCGTTTTGTAGTCTGTGAGTAGAATAGCTTTTATCCATGTGGCTGTAGAAAAAATAAATTTATTGTTAGGACAACCAGTTTCGGTTAATAGTCATCGTCAGGTCTAGAAGAAAAACAATTGTAATACAACGGAAAGGAAATCGGCAATAAATTGTACATGAATCTAGTAATCAACTTCAAACAAAAATAAACGTCCCTCAAGGTTTTATTTCAGGCTCCTTCCCTTTTTATAGTTTATATAAATGACCTACAAAATATTTTTCATAACAGCAAAATAAATACCTATATGTATACTGATGATACCATATTCAGTACATTAAAATACAAAAAGATATTCCAAACTCTCCCTGGTTTGAAAATCATATATATTTCAAGACATTACATCTTTAATGTCAGACCAAGTTTGGTCATTCAAGTTATCAAAAACACATATTTAAAATTAATACAAAGATAGATGAAAATTGTGACTTTTCTCAATCATCTGGACGTCTTAATGTTAATACACACTTTATTAAAATTTGTTTTATATGCATTTATAAAAGATAACATTATATTTCGATTGGTTACATCCAAATAGGCCATCTTGGATCAATGACATTTAATTTGGATTGAATTTCCTTACAGATAAGTCGTTTAAACCTTAATTTTAGCCCCTTTAAATTATTTATTTATTTTTCTGATAATATATTTAGGAAACACCAAATTTCAGCTATGATTGGAAACTCGTTTCCTCTGTATTGTATCTACTTGTTTGCCCCCTTTCTGAGCTATTTGTTTTTGGTTATATATTTGTTTAAAAAAAGGACGAGACGCGAGTATCCCTGTCATAATAATATATAGCTTTTCTTCCCGCACCTCTTGTTGTTATGAAATATTCTTTAGTAGTTCTAATTTTGGACGAATCTATGTCTGGTTGAATAGCAATTTGTCTAGGCCAACAAAAACTATATTAACAATTTTTTGACCAATTCAGTGCTAATACGGATTATTATTATCTTTTCCACGATTTAAATATGTATTTTTTTTTGTTAGGTTAAGTTGAAAAACACTGAAAACCATCATTTTTAAATATGTTTTTCCTCGCATAAATTAATGTTATTGTATATTTTCCTTTTTAAGTGATGAATAAAGTCCTGTTATTATTAATATTATTATGCACATTTCTCAATGAATCACCCTATGTACATGTGCAAAAAACCTTTTATAATAATAACAGTTTTTATACTAAAGAATTAAATATTTATTAGGTATATCTGAGTTTTGAGACCTGCATGTACATCGCTTCAAGCAATATTTCTTCCACTCCCAGAATATTTGAGGAACGGCTTGTTGTAGGAGCCGTAGCGTTTTTAAACTCTTCTATTGTTTTTTTTTTTAACGATTGATGAAGGTAAAAACCTGAGTACCACGTTACGCGGATGCAGTGAAAGTATAGCGGGGTTTGTTGATGAGGATTTTACAATGTATTTATTTATTTATATATAGTGTGAGTAGTTGAGTTAGAAACCTCAAATTATCTACGGTCGATAACGTTTAGGCAAAAAATGCAGAGACACGTCAAATTTAAATGTAGTTTAACTTTTATTTTGGATAACTATTGCTATAACGATGTCATGATAACGCTGAAACTTAACGATTGCTTCAAAATACCAACACAAAAACGTTCCTAGAATTTACGACGTTAATAGAAGGACAATAAAGAGTGAGACGTTGAGGCAAAGCGTCGCCTAGGCGTCCATCTAGAAACATAATATCCCGTAGGAAAGGTTGGATTGGAGCGAGGACGGACAATATAATGTAACATTGTCTGGGATCCAATTAAACCGGGATGCTGCTGTTCCTGTGCTTTTATACAGAGTTGGATAGTTTAATTTCTTCATTTAGATTATGGCACACACAATTAATTCATAATATACTTGTAGATGTTTTACATGTAAAGGAATACAGTAGCAGCGATGAAGAGCTAAAAGTGATTAGTTTTTAATATTTTAGTTGGCATTTTATAGATAAAATTGTTTTAGGTAGTGGAAATGTTAGTTTTTGATATCTAGATTTAAATGACATGAGTTGTCTTGAGATATTTCTTAAAAGTATTTCTATATGTGTTTCAAAAGTAAAAATTCTTCTTAAAATAATATTAAAAAATATGTTTTTCTCTCTCTCTAGCCTGTTAACTGTGAATTTTTTAAATTTAGAAATTTTATGGTCACAAATATAAATATATATTTATTTATTTCGGTTTGATACGTCCAAAAAATTTCCAGTTTTATCGCTTTTTTAACTAGAAAGGCTGATAATATAAATTCTGCAAAAATTCGTTAAATATGACAAATATGTATTCTTAATTATTACTATATGGTTGTCATATCATAATTTTATCTTAAATAGTAAGAGAAATAATTAAAAAACTAAGACCATGTCACTATTTGTCGGGCTTACCAGAGTCTCACATTGATGCTGTTTCGATGCTAGACCAAATCAAACTTTTTAACAAATCGAGTAAGAATATCAAATATTCAGCTGTGCAATTATATCCATATTTATAAATTTATATTTTTAGTCTTTTTACTTTTATAAAAGCCAGAAGATAAGTTTAAAAAAATAGGTATTATCTATTTGAGGATCATATTTTTCAAATTAAATTCCCAATTTTTTTTATTGAATGATATGTTCAAGACAAATGTTTTTTACTATTATTTTTACACTAAATAAAACCTTTTATATCTTTAGAAAAGACGTTTTTATATTTACTTTAGTTTGACAAAAAACTATTTATCAATACATCAAATAGATTAAATAAGACCAAAAGTAGCATATCTTGATTTTATTTATAATTATTACTGAGTAGTTTGCTAACTATAAATCTCAACATGATAAGGATGGTACAAGACTCTAATAGTAGTATCAAAGAAACATAGGTGATAATTTTCGACAAAAAATCTATTTGGATATTATTCCAATGAATTAAAAGTTCTCAACATTGCATGTGACTTTGATTTGTGTAATCGTTTAGCTTTGAATTTATACGTCGTCGATATGAATTTATGTATTTGAGATAATATTAGTATTTATTAA